TGAATTTTTGCTCAATGCCATGAAAAGACAGGAAACTAAAACACATAAAAAGAACATTTGTCAAAGTGATATAATTTTCCATTTTAAAGTTTCAAGAACATATTTTTTCGTTATTATTCAGAAATGAGCAAGCATATTTTATGGCAAAGAAAGATGAATCAGGGCTCATGTTTCTCATCTGACATAATTCAAGTTTCTTATATAACCCAAGGAAATGGAAGTAAGACAGGTTTCCTGTCATTCAAGAACGAATCTGTCTTTTGACAACTCCTCACAGGGATCAATTAATCTCCATCTGTGTCTGTTGTTTTGTAGAAATAAGTGCTTCTCATGAGAAGTAAACCAGAGGATACCACTTTAATTAACATACAGTAGGACCATCAGATGGTAGTGTCTTTGACAAAATAAAGACACAGGAGAGGCAAGAATGTTTCTCTAAAATATGATTTTCTGTGGTTTTCTAATGCAGTCATGATTTGGTGTTTTATTCATTTATATTTTTTTATTTAAAAGTTTTTCCCATTACCTCAATATAATATTCATTTTGGGACTTCCAAGATTTCTTAGTTCTGATGTATTCATTGGCATTCTATTGCTGTTAATGTGTACATTTCTTCATGTCTTGACACTGTAAACACAGTATCCAACCAATGCACTAAACATTTTTGTGTGTACTCTAGATATTCCTGGTGGACAGAAATTTCCATTTCCTGAACTGTCTACTGTTTCTGCCCATATGTGGTTACCTTCTCATGTTTGTTACAAAGTTTTAATGTTTATCCAATGACCATTTAGTTCTACAAAGGTTGATATATATCACTTCATCAGATGTTACTTACAGCCAATAGCATGAGTGGGAAAAATAAGGGTTTCAGGAACATGACTGACAAATGACAACACATCAATATACAACAGCCATCAATATATAACAATATCATGAACCTCTCACCAATTACTGTGTATCTATGGAGTATTTTCTAAAGATTAGCTAATTTTTTAAAGATAACAATATAAAAGTATTTGCTCCCAATAAAGAGCCTGGAGAGTAATTGTAATGAAATGTTGAGTGACCAGTGTTTGTTTCTATTCCTTTAGAGAAGCCAGATGTGCATCTTTAGAGTCCACTCTTGAACTTGAAACGGGATTTAAAGAGGGAAGGAATGAAATTGTGTGTGTGTAACTTTTTATAGTTCGTAAAATAAGGAGCTGGAGAGATGGCTCTGTTCATAATTATGCTTTTTACACAAGCAGGAGATCCAGAGTTGAGACACCAGCATTCATATAAAAAATAAAAAAGAACAACAATGAAAACAGATATAACACATGCATATTCATTACACAACCACACTGTAGAGTTAAGAGAAAGAACAATCACTTGGGCATATTGTCCTCCAGACTACATTGAGTTTCATGGATAAGCTATATCTAAGGAAAATAAGGTAGATAGTAATAGAGAGATAGATCCTTGGGGAATCTTCTCTTACATCGCTATGTTTATAGAAGTTTGTAAACATACATAAATATACACATGCATGCACACAGATGTCAAAATATTAACTTAAATATGAAATTAGGAGACTAAGCTGGTGGAGGGGGGGCGTAAATTAAAGAATATCAGTAACATCCTTAGGAAAGAGCTCATTGTCCTAAAATACTTACTTTTTAATGTGTATGTGTGTAAACTCAAGCTCATTTTTACACACCATGATTATACAGTGTCTGTGAAGCTCACAGAAGGTCTTGAAACCTCCAGAGCTAAAGCTCCAGGTAGTTGTGAGCACCAGTTTTGGGCTGGGAACAGGCACCTATTTCCTTGGTTACGAAGTCTCTTCTCTGGATTGTTGTGCCATTGTTCTAGACTGATAATTGATCTTTTGAAAGGAGCTTAGGAAAGTTGTCCTTTCTTCCTTGTATGAACATTATAGAACATCTGGATGTCACTGAAACTTGAAAGATGAGGATGTTACTAAGACACCACATCTATCATCAATTTAGTCATAGACTAAAAGTTTCCTGACTGATGCATGGAAGTTTGTTTTTTTTTTTTTTTTTTTTTTTTTTTTTTTTTTTTTTTTGTCTCCAAATGCTTTGGGACTCTGTTGCAGCAAACAGAAATGGCTAGGATGATAACTGGTATCAAGTAGCAGGTACTTTTGAAACAAATACCAAACTAAAAGATGTTCATCAGAAGAAAGGATTTTGAATTTTTATAATATGTAGGTATTGGGGAATTCTGAAAAGTGATCAAGTATAAGAGAGAAATTTTGTAACTCTAGAAAAGGTTCTTCTTTGAGAGTTCTAATGACCTTGATTAGAATCTTGGAAGAACACAAATAATAAAGCCAATCTGATGAGATAGCAGAGAGAAATGAGAATCATATTGAAGAAGCCATGCATGTGAAGTAGGGTGGGGAATAGTACATGTGAAGGTTTGCAGGAACAGAGGGAAATGACAAACTTAACTAAAGTATAATTTCAAAAAAGTAATCCAGACAGTATATTTTTGTTAGAGAAAATGCTTTCAAATAGTAACCCATGGGTGACAGAAGATAATGAAGAAAGAATAAGAGGTGGAGAGGTATTAGGAGGAAGAGGAAGAAGATGAGGAAGAGGGGTAAGAGGAGGAGGAAGAGAGGGAAGGGGAAGAGGAAAAAGAGAAGAAAGGAGGAAGGAGAGGGAAGAGGGTAGTTTTCAGGTTATGATATTCTTCTATAAAACATTCTACTTTGGGGAGACAAAATTATATTTTGAGATTTGATAAGAACAACATTTATGAATTAGATTAGTATTCTAGAAAGTATTAGATTGGCATTAGATTCGTATTACAGAAAAAAGTTAAAGGAGATAAATTAATTGAAGGTAATATTTTTAAGCCAAAGGATATCAGAATACTAAAATTTGAAGTACTTTAGTCTTTGTATATTAAAAAAAGGAAGAAATACTACAAAAATGAATGTTCAGAAAATATATTATGGTTATCTTTTGAATATGTATTAAAAAGTTTTGTTTGAGAATGTACAAAAGATTTCATCCATCATGGCAATTGGAGACAGCAATAGAAATGTTACAGAAGATCCACTTTCTGATAGGATTAAAGAAAACAAAGAAATGAGAAAATTGGAGGAACAATTTTAAACTTCTTAATAAGGACCAGATCACTGAACAAATTACTCAAATTCATGTGCCTTTATTAAGGAAGGAATTCAATCATCAGTCAACGTTATGAGGGGTGAGAAGCATGTTTGCTTGTGAAATAGTGTCAGTGTATGCCGAAACCCAAGCTAAAACATGGGACTGGATGTGGTCAATATTCTGAAGTTGTAACCTACATGCATAGGTGGGGCTGACAATGAAATCCACAGAATGAACATTGGTTTTGCAGTTATATGAATTATGTATCATTCTAATGGATGTAAAAGACTCCAGATTCAGAGGATCCGTAAGATGAAGCCCTGACCTAGAGAAAGGTCATTTTTAATAAAGCTTCAACTTGAGTGGAGTTCTTCCTGCTGTCATTTAGAATTATATAGAGATACCACTGTTCTTTCATTTTCTTTCTTATATGGAAGGTTAATATCTGGTCTATCACTGATATGTCACATATTTTAAAATCACCTGACTAATTTATTTTCAAAGACACTACTACAGAAGAACTGGGCTATAATGGATCTTACAAGGAAACTCTCTTGTGTCTTTGGTAGAGGATATTTAGGGGAGATATTAAATGTTAAATTTCTGCTTTGGCAGTGGAATCATTTAAGCCTTTGGGAGATGTTTGTTTAGGATTACTATATATGATATGTGAAAAAGCAAAGAAGGTCTGTGATCCAGAATATAATGATATAATGTAAAGTGAAGGATATTTGTGTCTACTTCCATAACAGAATCATGAACTAAAATTCCCCAACCCAAATGAAGATTTGCATCTTCTGAGAGCTATTATTTGATGATAAAGTATATGATTTATGCCTATACAAAATTAACCATGAACATCTCTAATTCCCATGCTTGTATATATTCCAGCAGAAAGACAACAATTTGCATAAGAATAAAGTATTTTTAAAAGAAACAATCTCTGCAAGCACTTGGATCTTAAACGTTGTTTGTAGTATCTGGTATTGTGAGAAATAAAGGGCATCTAAATCACCATGGGGTGTGTTTTCAGAACAAGCTAAAACTATATATGCAACTTTGGGTGATGTATTCAGATGACTATAAGAAGAAAGACGTACAGATTTTGGATCCCATTTCTGATATCGTATGCAACAATTGGGCAAAGACTGTAATTAAATTTGTTTTCATATGAAAAACAATTTTAGCAGTTACGTCTATTTTCTTCTATGTTAGCACAGTTACTTTGCTTTAGCGCTCTTCCTTTATATGCAGAAGTTTATTTCAGCAGTAAATTACTTGTTTATTGAGTACAAGGTACTAGTTTCAATTCTCAACATTGCAAGGAGGAAAAAAATATACTCATATTCTTAAATTAGTCATTCACACTTACTAGTATACAACCATCCACACCATATCAAACACAGCAATTTATTTTATTACAGTGGATCAATAGTTTCTGACATGTGAATACTACTACTCCTTGATTTTCAAAATCAGCACCAGATAGCAGGAAAAGAGGTTTTTAAAGAAAGTGCAAACTATGTGAAATTATTCTATGTATTGTGAAAGTATCTTGATATCACTACTCTTTGATGTCACCCTTTGAAGTTATTTCACTTAGTCCCTTTTATAAATGAAAAAAAAATAAAACATGACTCATTAGTTTGAGTGACATGTCCAGCATTGAACACTGTAAGCAATATATTAAGGATTTACGTTGGTTGTTTGTATTAAAGTTCTATGACAATACATCTACCATCACACTAATAAGGAGTCATTAATTTTCGTGGCGCATGATCTACCACTATTCTTTTAATAATTGAGTTTGTTATTTCCTGTTGATCTCATTTTGTTTTCCTATGAGCATTTAAACATGTTATTCATACCTAACAGCGCTACTGCCCACATCAAGGTCTTGGGCTGTGACGGCTCCGATGATGGTCCCCACAGGAGTGTCTTCATAAACCTCCATGGTGTAAAGCGGCTTGCTGAACACCGGTGGCTCGTCCACATCCAGTACACTGATTTTTACTGTAGCAGTATCTTTAAATGGCCCAGCAGAGTGAAAGCGATGGTCAAGGTGAAGGTTGGAGGCCTCTACTTTAAAAGTATATGCCTTCTTTGTTTCAAAATCTAAAGGCTGTAATAAGGACAAAACGAGAAATTATATTTATATGGATCTGGGCAGAAAACGGTGAACATTGCTTCTAAGCGACCAGCCAGCTGCTTCCAATTAATTACATATATTTCAGCTTCCTTTCTATGAATACAGAGAAAGCAAAAGTAAATGTTTGAGAACATTAAAGATAAGCGACATGTAGAAGCAACCTGTAATGTTAGTTATCTTAACACAGAATTGATAAAATCTACATCTACACATCAAAGTAGACAGGGCTATTCATGTCCTACTAGGCAATGTGCAACGAGGGAGACATTATTTTTGCTTTTATCCAATACTGACATCTACTGGACAAAAGTAAAGAGCGAAAGAATAGAACAACAACTAAATTAATTGTTTGATTATTTAGATTCCAGGTTCGCACCCAATGTTAGAAATTTCCTTTTCTTATTTTCCCTACTACCATTTTCTCTCAAAAATCTTGAATACCTAGGTATTTTATCTAGAAAGAGCGAGTAAAAGTCAGTAGATTGTTAGTTACAGTTGTTGGCATTCCAAGAGTAATATCTACCAAAAGTGTGTGCTGCAGTGCATTGTCAGAAGACAGCACAAAGAATCTGACCTCAAACATTGTTCAATTACAGAAGACACTGGAAGTAACAATAGGTGTTAGTTTATACATATGCACTGATACTCAGTTTTGATATTTTTCCCACTTTTAAATATCAGTTCTTTCATCTCCATATCTGAACACATTATAGTCCAGGATCACTGTAGCAATGAAATACTTTCTTGTGGGAGATGGAGTTGAGTAGACATAAGTTCATATTATGTGGCTTATGCTGGCCCTGAATTGACAATCCACATATGTCACATTCTCTATTGTCCTGGTTCCAGGAGGGATTCACTTAGCTTTGGGTGGAAAGCTGCCGTGGTTGCACAGTAACCATCCCAGAACTTGGAAGGCTGAAGCTTGATGATCTGGACTTTAAGTACAACATGGGCTACATAGTATAATCCAAGTGAATCAATACCTCAAGAATTTGCTTAGAGATATTGACAAATGTTGCTCATAGTAATGGACAAAGGAAACGCTGTGCTATGACAAGGTTTAGCTGGATAAGCAAGCACAAGGCAAGGTAGACACACAGTTTTAAATATCTGAAGGGTCTTTATAAGAAACAGGAGAGTTGGAGTAACAATTCACTTCTTATTAATTGTAATTTATAAGGAAGAAATTCACGATATAGATTACATCATGTCTCTTTACTTTCAACATATTCTAGAAAAAGCTGCATTATACATTCTAAGAAGCAACAAATTTGTCTCTATATGCCATGAGTCTGAAAGAGAAATTTATACATATATATGTTATATATACAAACACTCATGTGGAAAGGAGTACGTGTTAACTTAAATCAATGTGCATAAATGTTTCAGTTTTTATAAATGCTCAAATTTCTGAATGTATTAGACAATATAATTTTTACATTGCTAAATGCTAATTGCTAATTTTTATTTCACAAATATTGATTTTTATTAGCTTAAATGTATGTGTTTCCAGAAAGCAAGCTGCATGTCCATCACTTGGGCTTGCTCTATTACTGCTCTCAGAATCAGATATTGTATCTTAGGATACAGTCATGGGTACCAGCTCCCCCTCAACTCTCTCTCTCCCTGCTTTCTCCTACATATTGAAATGTCTACATTTGGATAATTATAAAATTCCTTCCAGATAAGTCTTAAAATTATTTCTTTTACTTCGTAGCTATCTCAATGAATTTGGCTCCCTACTGGTATGTCAGTTTCAAGATAATGGCCAGAGAAGGGAATTCTAAATTCCTATCCCTTTTTATTTTACATCATTTTTGAAGACAAGTCTATGGCTTTTTGAACTCTTCACCTCACACAGCTGGCAAAAATTAAGTGTTCAGGTTTAAGAAGTTGGGGGAGTGCATTGGGGAGAACCTATTTATACCTATAGATTTGTTTTGCCATTGAAAATTTACATCCTGCAGTGATCAGAGCCCTGGGAAAAAATTTTAAGAGAAACAGCACAGTCATATCCAAGATGGGGCTCCTTCTTGATGACCCTGACCCTTAAGGAATCTCTCCTTAGAAAAGAGTGCATGAAAAAAAGATATATAAATACTGAAGACAAAAAAAGAAGAAAAAGAAAAGGACGCATCTCAGTAAAAGCTGACAGAATCAGCAGTTGACTCTTTACTTGAATTTAACAACTCACTAGCCTTACTGCCATCTTAATTTGGGGCTGATGAACTTCATTGTTAATGATCACAATAAAATTCTAGCATTTAAAAGAAAAGTACAGGTGAAAACGATTTGCTTAGAATCTTTAAACACTGAATACTTCTGAGTTGAGTGGATTTAATTCTCCTACAATAAATAGAAAACCTCCTGACGCTACTTACAGCCCATTCGAACATAAAGATGGTAGAAGGTTTCAGTGAGTAATTTCTTCTCCTTGGCTAGAAATATGTCACTTAAGCCAGATACCATTGGAAGATACCATTGGAGGGAGCTGTGCAATAGAAGTTCACAATTTTAACGAAATAAAAACCACATTTAATATCATCACCCTAAATTTAAAAAGAAGAAAAATTAGGCAAGTTACATTATTATAGTGACCCTTTGTGCTTACATTCTCTTTTGCCAAGGGGCAGATCAGCTGCAACAATGAACAGAATGTGCAGATATTTTCACTCACTTCAGAGGATGTAATATGGGTAAACACTTAGGTGACCCACTCCCCAGGGTCTTCCAGAGTCCCTGCTTCTACATAACTTTATGTAGAAATTGATGGACTCCATTTATTGATGTTTTAATGAATTTGGAAATCAATATCTCCGGAGGACAGAATGCAGAAGTGCTTTCACTTATTATTATTTACTTATTTTTTATTATCATTATGAAGTGTTCTGCCAGGGCCTCCATCATCTGTGTTCAGTAGTCCAGCACTGAGAGTAGGCATAACATTTGAATTTGATACCATGTCAAAACAAGGCACTGAGATCTCAGTGAAAATAAATTATATAAATAAAACTACAGTCCTTCACAATTGGACCTATAATTGAGCCTCTGACCTAATAGGTGAGGTTTTATTTTTGTTTTTTGTTTGTGATGAAGGAAGCTTGTAGCTTCAGGTCTGATCGCAGCACCAATTCATACCATCATTCTTCTTGACTAATGCTGAATAAGGCCACAGTCACTCATATTCTTACCAACAGTAACTGCCTTTTGCCGATCTTTATATCCTATTGTTCTCCTTCAGATTTTATAAGGAACATGTATCTTTTCATCAACACAATAAGGTGATTACTCTCATAAACTGTCTCCTGCATTAACAAGATTCTGCCATGCAGAATCCATGAATCCTTAATACTCATTAGAAAGGCACACTTTCCAAGGAACAACTGAGTAGAAGATGTCATTATCTGAAAATAAACAATGGGGAAAAAGAGTTGGAAAGATTTACATCATACTAAAACAGGACAAAGAGACATAGAGAACACACTTTTGTAATGTAAGCTCACTAGTCCGGATGATAAAGATAAAGCATTTAGGATCAGGTTTGTTTTGAGAAGAAATCACCTTTTTTCAGGACTGAGTTTTGTGATCAATAGTCTGAATTCTAGTTTGGAAGGAGGCAAAAGAGACTATGCATATTTCATAATCACTATGAAAGCACTCAAATCAATATTTCAATAAAATTTGATCAAGCAGTGGATAAACCAAAGCAGTCACGGTATGAGGTGAGAATGTCCTTGCAAGGGAAAATAGATGAAACTTGGACATTTGAAAGTTATTCTTTCTTTCAACAAAATTTTGATGTATTTCATCATTATACATATGCGTGTGTGCGCATATGTACAATAAAAAGAGAATTTTCATGCTCACTGTTTTTGAAATAAATTATATAACTTAAAAGATACACATTCCACTCAGTTTGTTCCAAAAAAATGTTAAAGAAAAACTACTTATTAGAAATTTATTTATTTTTCCATGAAAATATTATACTGAGTTTTATATTTATTATAATATTGCCACATATTGATAGTTTTAAAATTTAACTTAAAATTAAAGGAAGCTATTCAAATGACTGCAATTAGTGACAATAATTTCAATATATGTTCAGTAGTGCAAATGACATCAAGAGCATAACTGCAAAAGCCACCAGTACCTCTATGTACAAGTTTCAAAAAAAAATTCTAAAAATATCAAAAGATTTAGTCAAATATTGGGTTTTGAGTAATATCTATCTATTTATCTATCTATCATCTATCTATCTATCTCTATCATCTCTATCTCTCTATCCCTGCCTCTATCTCTATAATCGATCTATATCTATATATATAACATACAGCATAAATTATTTTCTAACACAGTACTTCATCATATGGTATAACATCTATGCTTTTTAAACTTAATATTTACAGACCCCCCTCAGAGCTCCCAGAGGCTAAACCACCAATCAAGGTGTACACATGGAGGGACCCATGACTCCAGTTGAATATGTAGCAGAGGATGGCCTTATCAGGTATCAATGGGAAGAGAGACCCTTGGTCCTGTGAAGACTTGATGCCCCAGTGTAGGGGAATTCCAGGACAGGGAGGTAGGAGTGGGTAGGTGGATGGAGTAATGCCCTCATAGAAGCAGGCAAAGGGGGATGGGATGGGGGTTCCTTGGGGCGGGGAACAGGAAAAGGGCTAACATTTGAAGTGTAAATAAAGAAAATATCCAATAAAAAAATTATAGCAATTTGTAGTTTTATTCTTTGGTCCTCATGTTTTCCATTTGTGAAATCAGTACAGCTTTATTTTTTATTACTTGTAAAATATAATTAACTGTATTGTGCATGTGAATAAAAATAAATGTTCCAAAATATATAACAGTTAACAAACATAAAATACGTCTTTAGCCAATGGAAATTTAAAACATTCTATGTACTTCAGTGATATTTTTGTTTATTGAGAAAAATTACAGATGTGGTGAACATCTAC